TTATATTATATATTATATATATATTATATATTATATTATATATTATTATATATTATATATAATAATATATATTATATAATATTATTTATAATAATATTATATATATTATATAATATTATTTATTGGTAATTTAATGAATAGAGTTCAAATTTACATTCTTATAACCTTTGTAACACTGGTAATATTTCCAGGTATCTTTGCCCCATCTTCATCCTATGTGAAAAAGAAAATGGCAGGAACTAAGATTTGAGTCAACCTTTTATTCACAAATATGGATGGGGAATTTGAAGAAAGAGTTCTACAAGGACAAAATCAGACTGGGGCTGGAGAAGAAACCAATGTTTTCACTTACAGGAGAATCCAATACCAAGTTGTTGCATAGTCTTCAAATATTTTCATTCCAATTGTCCTTGCATCAAGTATTTTATTGACACGGCTGAATTCAAAGAAGGAAAAGATCAATTATTTTTTGATCACCACTAAACAGAAATGTTCATGTTATGATAGAAAGGGTTTTGCAACTGCTGTTAAAAACATTTTTGTAAATCATTTATCAAAAGTCACTCTTTCCCCAGCCACAACAATATGTGAGATGTCATTTTGGTAGACTACAAAGGTGGCTATAGCTACACACACAGAGAATGTGACATTCAAGAATGGTGAACAGATCCTTTTCAATGTATATGACATGTCCTCAATATTGCAGAAACCTCACTATAAGAAATGAATTTAAATAAGATTAGCCTTTAACTTACAAAATCCATAGAGTCAAGAATAAACATCATCCTTAATTCCCTTTTCTAATCCTCTGACAGCTATGCAGCAGGAAGGCACCATGGGGCACATCCAGAAAAGTCCATAAATCATTAGTGTCTGGTTTCATCAGTTATCAAAGAGGACGCACTTAACTACAACCTGTTGCCCCTTTGCCCATGTGCCCCAGTTACAACACCCCTCCTTCCCCTAAGGTAACCACAATCCTGACTTTTATGATAATAATTCCCTAGTTTTCATTTTAGTCTTAACACTTATATAGGCATCACAGTATAATTTAATTTAGTTGTGCTTATTTTTAAATTTTTCTATCAATGGAACTGTACTTGTACTATTATTTTGTGGTTTCTTTCACAAAGCTTTATATTTGTGAAATCCATCCATGTTGCTATGACATTTTAAATATGTAGGACCTGCACTATTCTACTTGGACTACTAAAGTCTTTCAAGGAACAGAAATATATTTTTGGAATATCTTTATTTTTCACTTTTAATTCAACAACTGAGCTATGCAGTGATACTCTGTGTGTTTGTGCACACATGTGAATGGATGCACGCAGGGAATTATATTCCCCAATAACCTGAAACATCATGATACGTACAGCAAGGGAAACAGTAAATTGACTTCACTGTAGTTAGTACGTAGAAATTGATATGGTTCTGAAACAGCCTTTCCAAAGACCCTCTTCCCTTTACAACATCTGGCAGTTTTATTATTTCAGTCATTTTTTAAAATAGTGTTTTAAAAAGCATGTTTTTTTTTATTGTGTTGATTCAACAAATAATGTTAAGGACTTCCAATATGCTTACTGAGGTTTCATTTCTATACCTGTTAATAATGAAAGATTTAACCATTTTGAAAAACATCATTCCTCTTTCTAATTCTCTTTGGTTTCTCCTTTACCTGCTTTTCTTAATGAATATACACCAATTTCTCCAATCCACAGTGACATGTATATTTCATAATAATACATAATTCTTCCTTTCTAACATTTAACCTAATGGAAGCTTTAGTCTTGTGCATGGTAACAGAATGCATCCAAACTAAAAATAAGAATGTAAACAAACATACTTTGCAGCTGCCCTGAGTTCTATAGCATTTCTTGTCTTTCCACTTCCATCTTCAAATGTCGTCTTATTTCCTACTGTCAGAGTGCCATTTTTAGTAGAGAAGTCAGGGAAACATCTCTGGAGAACTGTAAAAAAAGAAAATTATGGTAATCACTTTTCTACGTCTTCCTATGTGATGTTCTCCTTTTCTTAAGCTTTCTTTTACAATCAAATTTTTGCTGGATAATGTATAAATTGCTCAACATAGGTAATCGCCCATTACTGGATGATCAGGAAGGCCTTTTGATGGTTCTAAGACTGATATAGATAGAAAATTTGATCACAATCAGAAGCTACACTCTAAACTTGTTGATTATTTTGCACATGGTACATTCATCAAGCAGCCAATAAGTAAGATGCACAGCACAGGTTTTAAAAGAGTAATATTGATAACGTATCTAACATTGTAAAAGCATTTTAATAAAAAGGCTTCATTTACTTGTATGACTAAATTTACTTTTTCTTATTAAAAAGATTCTAGATATTCCTTGAGTGAAACTTTGAAAACTGGAGATTCGTGAGCAGTTCCTTAAGAAAGAAGAACAAGTTCAAACTTTAGGCTATTAAGACAACAGAATTTTTATTTGTGAGGTCTTAATAATTTGTCTCCCTTCCAGCTTTCTCATTCACAGGGTTTTTGGAGGAGCTGGAAATAGAAATTCTAAAGCTATCAAAATGGTCCCCACACAAAGCGTGGACTGTCACCACAATTTCTGAGAAGTTACCTCACTGTTAAATCTTCTATGCACTTATTTTGATTAAATAGAATCCTTGTTTCTTTACATATCTGTATTCCTAAAAATATTTCAAAACCCCAATTTTAAATGAGGAGGGAAGAGAAATCAGAAATGGATCATTATTATATTTTTTGGTATAAGAAGCATCACAGATTTGCATGGGTTTGCAGGCAGTTTAAACTTGAAAATATTAAAGCAGTTGATGTAGGGAAAAAAGAAATAGGTGTTTCCCAAGCCTTTCCTGACATTTCTGGCTTAAAATGATCTCTTGTCTACCCACACCCACCTTCTGTAGCATTTAAAACATGGCCCATTGCTTCAGTATCCTCCACATCTCTCTCTGGTTCTTCCCTGGCAAATTTGACATAGTAGCCTCCACCAGCTGCCTCTACTCCCTCTCAATCCAATCACATTCTTCCCCCATCATTACAAGGAAACTGGCCTCCCAGTGATCCCAATGGTCTCCTAATTGCCAAAACCTCCACATATCTTTTAGTCTTCATCTTGCTTGAACCCATTATCTAGTACAGTGCTTGGTACATAACAGAACTCAGCACTATTTGCTATTGAATTAACTTTTCTGTCTTTGACATGGTAGGCAACTCCTGCCTTTTGAAATGCTCTTCCTTTGGCTTACATTCCCAGATTCTCTCCTGTCCTCCCTTCAGCCTTTCTGTATTTTCTTCCCCTCTCCACTCCTTAAAGATGACTGTTTCTACCTACAAAGTCCCCTAACCTTTTTCTGGGCAATTTCATCCAGTCGGTTAGTTTCAATCACTAAATGTGCTCATTTTATATTTGGAAAGTAGAGAAAATATGAAGGAAGATACAAAACAAGACATAGTCCTACTACCCACAATGAACTCTATTAACATTTTAGATGTATTTCCTTCCTGTTTTTCTTCTACTTGAAATTTTGTCGAGAGTCATAACCATAAAATAAATTCAGCGCTTTCCCTGGTTTCTTTCTTTTAATATTACTTATTTTCTTTTATAACCTCTTAAATGAGTAAATTTTATTAGGTGCATACTATTCCATTAAGTACTATACTTAGTCCCTTATTGAGGGAATACAAGGTGATTGAAATGTTTACCATAATGTCTCCTTTACTATACTGTGAGGGACTATGCTTTATTCACTTTTGAATCCCCAGTATATAGTTTATATTGTATGATTTAACCAATCTGTACTTGTAAGGGCAGGGATGTTTTATACTTTCATATCCATTTTATCTTCAATGACTAATGATTCATTTTTACCTTTTTGTAACATTGTTCTTGGCTACCGACACTTGTTGCTCGGGGGCTTCCTGGCAAAATGTAGTTGCTTGCAAGACCTTGCTTCAGAGTCCTCAATGACCCAAAGAAAAGGGATGGGGGGCATGCAAGACATTGTGTTTGATGGGAGCTACTTCGATGGCACCTGACTTTCTACTCCAATAGAGAAAGATACCTTTCTACTTCAATAGAAAAAAAGAAGAAAGAAGAGAGGAATGCCCATAGTTTTGCCACCTCCAAAACACTTACTATTTTGGCATATTTCTTTGCGATCTTTTTCTTTGAATAGTTTTTTGTTGTTGTTGTTTATTTTAATTATATATGCTTGTCATTATAATGCATATAAAATTTTATTTAACATTATAGTATACATACACTTATATTTAATAATTCTGAAATATTCCATTTAATGAATACATCATAATTTATTTAAGTACATTCTTGTTCTTGGATATCAGAGTGTTTTATTCTTCTTTTTTTTTTTATTTTTGTTTCTTCCAGATAACATTGTGCCGGACATCTTTATGTAAAAATATTCTTCTTTGTAGTTAGGATTATATTTGTTAGAAATGAAAATTAGTGATTTCATTTTTTTAAAAAATTAGATAAATTTTATATAAACTTTAAATAAAATTTATAAATCTTAATATAAAATATTGATTCATTTAGGAGATACATAAACATTTTAAATTTCAAATTATATGACAAGTGTATGTCCCACTTTCACTCCTGAGGCAACTTCTGAACAAATTCTTAGGCTGATTTCAGGCACGAGTGTGCAAGATTACATCCTTGTGTGCTTACATGTACTCACAGAGCACCAAATAATCAATCTTATTAGGCTTTTAAAATCAATCTTCAATCTTTTTTTGTGTATGTTGACATAGCAAAACCCCAAAACTAACAGAGCTCCAATGGAAATATCCCTGGCTGGAGTGCCGATGGGCTTTAGCTTTGGCTTCTTCCTAATTAACTCTGGGACACTAAACCAGTCATACAACTATTCTTGGTTTCAATAGTGAAATAAGGGAACTGAATTAAATAACTGTTTGGTAGATTATGAGTTCGAAGGTAAGTAAAAACCACTTACATGGTTTACTTGGAAAAATCGCTATTGGACAATCATCATCCAGTAAAACTTGTGTGAGAGTCTAAAATGGAAGGGAGAGTAGGTTAGCATTTCAAAGGCTATGTAATGACAACTTTTATTTTCAGTATAAAAACTGTGTCCTTTAAAAATTTAACTCCATAATTATCTCATTATTCCAAACTACTCTCCTAATAAGAGGGATTTTAGGATTGTCACACACCCATACTTTTTTTTGACAAACACTCTTAAATTTCCTAACTGTAATTCAAATCAATAATAAAACCAGACCCACTGAAACCAAGGCACATATTTGAAAGCATGTATCTATGTCTTGGTCACATTCTGAATCTCTAAGTCTTGGATTTTGTTTCTGGAAAAACAGTATCTTCTCTAATTAAGAAGACATTAATACCATTTAACATAATAAGGCTTTAGAATTCCTTTATAAGTCTCAAATCTAGATAAGGTTTGAGGGTTCTTTTTAATGAATAATTATCAAATTGGGTTTGAAAGTAAAATGCTACTTGTTACTAAGTAGCCATGGATCTTCATCACCACATTAATGAAATGGTGACGTTAATAAAATGAAATGACATTAACTCCTAGATCTTCACAGCATACACTTCATTCAAGTAGAGAATTTGTTGGTTTCGGGGAATAAAGCTAACTTACCAGACTTAACGAGTCTTTCCTAACACCCCAAATCTACAAAATGATATACTATAAATGGTGTATGTATGTTTGTATGTACATGTGCATTTGTGTTTTAATGGAACAGTACCTAAGCATTTCTTAGATTTGGGAGCCTGTCCATTACAAATGCTCATGTTACACTTGAGATAGAAACAAAAGTTAAATTCTTCTCTAGCTTTAAGCTTAAACACACATACCTTTGCAGGCTTAACAAAAGTGGACTTGCAGAACTGGCTGTAGTACTTCCAATAGTTTTTGTTTGTTCTGTATGTAAATTGTATTTCCATGTAGGTTAAAAATTTTTCTGGGCACTTGGAGACACAGATCTATGAAGAAAAGGAACACAGTGGTGGGTGGGAACTGAATTGAGTTAAGCAAATCAAGGAAATATCCATAAGGTTAGATTTCTAAGTTATTCACCTCTATAAAGAAACTTAGAAACTTAAATCAATTTTCTAATTTATGTAAAAAATAAAATGTCATGCACTAGTTATCACTCTCTACTCCTTGCCCTTTAGTAATGATCTGTGTTAAACAAATCAGATGTTGTACAATGATGGAACTGTTTTTAACTTCTGATTTTGAGATAATTATAGATCTACTTGCAGCTGTGAAAAATAATATATTCCACATACCTTTCACCCAGTTTCACCCAATGGTAGTAACTTGCACAATTACAGAGCAATATCACAACCAGGAAATTGATACTGTTACATCCACTAACCTTTAGATTTCACCAGTTTTACGCACACTCGTGTGTATGTGTGTGTGTGTTGTGTGTGTGTGTGTGTGTGAGCATACAGTTCTATGCAATTTTATCATGTATAGATTAATGTCACCACTACCACAAGACAGTGATGGACTTTTAATAAATATTTTCTTATTAGTCTCTCAGTTAGTAGATAAGAGTATAATGCAAGATTAATTTTGCCTATGTAGTTTATGCATTTTCAGGGTTAGAATCTTGCTTCCTTTCCTACATATAGATAAAATAATGATTAAAAATGCTCCAGATATTGATAACTTATTCCACTAATTACTATCAGTGACAATGAATTATCAACAACAGTTCTCAAAATAGGAGTATTTATTACCATAAGAAACCAACAAAATTAGGGCTATGTGGCAGGCAATCATTATCATAGTCATTTAACCAACACTCTGTCAACTGTGGACAGAGAGGTTACCAATGCAATCATTTTACATTAATGAACTTAGTTAGGGGGCCTATTAATGCCAAACCAGATCACTGTGCTAGTAGTCCACAGAGCTGATGTGGAATGACTGAAATCCAATTAGAAACTCCGGAGAGAAAGCAGAATCCAAGAAGATGCAGTCTGTTGACTTTGTTTTTGCTTGTAGTTAAAACAAAAAACAAAAAACAAAAACAAAAAACAACGATCCTATTAACCATGAAAGTTGCGGTCCTCGTTCTCTCCTCCATCTCCAGTTGCTCCTCATGAAAGCCTTCTCAGCTCTGACTTGCTCCATCTCCCTGCTGTGCTTTGGTAACCTGACTGGCCAGATTCTAGCTCAATCCACTGCTACTGAGCTGACACCTCTTTCCTATCTGCTGGGTCATGTTTCTAGTGTCTACAAAAATTTTTGGTGTCAGGCCCACAGCTAAGGTAGGAGGTGAATAACTAAATGGATACCTCAAATCCCACAGTTAATAATGTTTTGTAGTAGCAGCAGTCTAAATCTCTTCTAGACGTTCTGACAAGGCAAAACAACCTGTCTCTACATTCATGTCTCTGTATGCATTTTGTCAGTTTCTCATACATACATAGGCTCTCTGTCTCTCTCACACACACACACTCACACAGTTCTAGATGAAATACTGAAGTTTCACAGGTATCTTTCTACAAAAGGCAAAGAACTGTTTAGGGACGTTCAAAGCATCCAGCATGCTCATATCTTTTAGAAGAAGGCAAAGCTTATTATCAATGCAAATGTCAAAATTTCATTCTGATTGGAGCTGAGCTGAACAAACTGTTAACAAATTGGGAGATACTTTACAGACATTTAGACTTTGACAGTTATAGGACTTTGAAAGGTAACTTCACTAGTTCCCCCCTTGGGTATATTTAAATGGATTTTTAAAATGAACACTGAAAGTACTAATGCTTTCACAGGCCTAAATGACAGTAGGAACTACTGAGTTGGGACCATGATGAGTTCTGTATTATGTAGTATACATACATACAATGTATACTACATATTAAAAATGCTGTGTATGCAACATATACAAGAAAATAATTAAAATGGCAAAATGTAGTTTGTTAAAGAGAATCACATCAAATTTCATCCCAGACACAAATGAGCTGTTAAAAAACAATACAGTTACTGCTTTTTACTCTCCCAATCTATCAGACCAATTTTTTCACTTCAAATAGGGTGCTGATTAGTAGCAATCAACATATAATTAGCTAAAAATGAAGGTCACATTAAGGTCGGGTATCCTAATTAATCATAGTCTGTCCTTTAAATGCTTGCAAAACATGTCTGGACCATGCTGGCAGTTAACAAAAAACATAATGCATAAAAATATGGCTTGGGTCAGTAGATACACTAATGTCTGGCAACCTAAAAGCAAGTCTCCATTATTGGCAGCTAAAATATATCCTGACTCAATTCTGATTCTTTGGGTAATCACAAAGAGGCACTTTAAATGTAGTTCTTCATCATTATTTTTATATCTTCAATTCATATAGGTTTAATATTCTAATGCAAATAAGAATTTGGTGAGTAGAAGAGAGTTATAGTGATGGTTAGAGCACTGCATTTACTATGAAAAAAGCATGATCTAGTAAATAATTTATAGTGTACTTAAATATAAATAACATACATACATGAGTACATAAAAAAGCATAATGTATAGGATATTTTTGTATGTATGTTTCCTCATGGAAATGATGGATGTGTATAATAGAAAATTTCCTAGACTGGGAGTAGAAAGATATTAACTAATTCATTCATGTATTGCTTCAACAAATACTTATTGATCACCTACTCTGAGCCTGTTCTAGGCACTGGGGACACAGTAGTGAACAAAATATAAAAATACTTGCCCTTAAGCTGTTTACCTTCTAGTAGAGGGAAGATGATAACAACAAATAAGTAAAATTGTTTGTTATAAGATGATAATAAGTGCTATGGAGACAAATAAAGCCAGAAAGGAAGTTAGAGGATAAAAAGCAGTTGAGTGGGATTCTAGTTTTAAATGGGAACTCAAGGGGTCACCTGGGTGGCTCAGCCGGTTTAAGTGTCTGACTCTTGGACTTTTGATTTCGGCTTAGGTCATAATCTCATGGTTCATAAGATCAAGTCCCATGTCAGGCTCTGCACTGACAGCACAGAACCTTATTGGGATTCTCTCTCTCCCTCTATGCCCCTCCCCTGATCATGCTTTGTCTTTCTCAAAATAAATAAATCAACTAAAAATAAATAAATGGGTAGTCAAGGAAAGCCTTGCTAAAAAAGTAACATGTGAGTCTTGAAGAATAGTGATCAAGCCATAGTCATTTGGAGAAAGAGTACTCTAGGCAGGGAGAACAGCAAAGTCTAAGGCTCTGAGGCAGGAGCATTCCTGGATCCTTCAGAGACAACATACTAGCTGTATGACCCGAGTGTAGTGAGCAGAGGGATAGTAACAGCATATGTAGTCAGAGAGTTGGACAGAGAGTGAAGGGTCCTGTAAGGCCATTGTTAAGACTTTGCTGTTAATCTCAGTAACTTGAGAAGCTATGGGGATGAGGACTGAACAAAGGAGAGATATAAATGTGACATGTTTAATAGGATCACATTGGCTTCTGGGTAGAAAAGACACTGTAAGGGGTTGAAAGTGGGGTAAGGATAGAGGCAGAGAGACCAGTCAGGAGGTCATAGCACTAATATAAAGAGATAATGGTTCTTTGAAAAAAGGAAGAGATAGTAAAAAGTAGTTTGGTCCAGGGTATATTTTGAATGGAGACCAGAAGAATTAGCTGAATGTTCACACATGAGTGTAAGAGGAAGAGAGAAAATCAAGGATGATACCATGGTATTTGGAGGTGGCCTTAACTGAAACAGCGACGATGGTTGGGATTGGAGAAAAAATTTAAGGATGAAGTCAGAGATTAGGAATTGAGTTTGGACATATTAAATTTGAGATGTCAACTAAATATCCATGTAGAGACATTGCACAGGTGATTGCATATCAGGATCAGGAGTTCAGAGAGCAGACTTTTCTGGACATGTAAACTAGCGAGGGCAGCATGCAGATGATGTTAAAAACAAAGAATTGGTGAATGAGATCACCAAGGGAGTAAATGTAGATTTTCAAATGCCCAAGTTTGGTGATAGGAGAGAACTCCAATGTTTATACGATGTTGGAAAGCTGAAGAAAAACCAGCAAAGGAGACTAACAAGGAATAGCCAGAGAGTTGGGAGGAAACAAAGAAGAATAATGTGCCCTGGAAGCCAAGTCAGGAAAATGTTTGAAGGAGGAGGGCTTGAATAAACAATGCTGTTCGATCAAATGCATGTGGAATGAGAATTAGCCATTAGTTTAATAATATGGAGGTCAATGGTATCATTTGGAGGCAATTAGAGTAGGAGTAAAAGCCTGAATGAGAATGAGAAGAGAGGATTTAGACACACTGAATATAGACTACTCTTTTGAAGACTTGCAAAAAAGAGGTACAGAGATATGGAGCAGTATCTGGAAGGGGGTGTGGGATCAAGGAGATGATTTAGTAGAGAAGGAACAATGGTAATAAAAAAACCCCACAAAATTTCTGCAATGATGTGCTTGAGTATGTGAAAGCAGGTGAGATATAATGCACAAATGGATAGGCTGACTTTAGGAGGGCAGGCAGTTCATACACAGTGAGACAAAGAAAAGCAGAACAAATATATGAACATAAATGATACTTGATAGGCAAGAGGATGTTACTGCAGAAGCTTTTAAAAGTTGTCTTCTGAATGCCTGTACTTTTTCAGTGAAGTAGGAAGCAAAGTCAGAGGCTGACAAGGAGATTGGGAAGGAGTTCTTAGGCGTTGGAGGTAAGAAGAGAAGGTATGGAAATGTTTTCTAGAAGAGAAAACTAGAAAACAGATAAGGGGTCTGTAGTGTGGTTGTGAGACAGCACTGAGGGACACTGAGGTTAGTAGTTCTGAGTCTAAAGGACAGTTATGTGTATTTTCTCCAAGAACTCACAGCTGCCTGAGTTCAGGCATAGAATAATAGGCAGAGAGCCACATTCAGGTAGGGATGAAGTTCTGCCAGGAAAGAACAGCTAAGTGGGAGGGGGGCACAGAAATTGAGGGTTTTTATAAGGGAGTGAATTTAAAGAGGGACCTTGAAATCTAAGTCAGACAAAGAAAGAAATGAAAACATGAGGGAACTGAGGGATGCTGTGAAGAGGTTAGCATTAGGGGGTTGTAGGTCCTGGTGAGTTACAATTATTGGAGTTGGAATGTGAGAGGAATTGAGGTGGTCAGACAGTAGGATGTCTGAAATTGATATTACAACAGTGGCAAGTACTGGTACTGACATGGTCAAGGATTTGGCCTTGGGAGTGGGTGGCTATGGTAGAAAACAAAGTCTTGTGATAGAGGTAGTCACAGAACTAAGATGTCAATATCTCAAGTTGGCTTTAGTCTCAGTGGTAAATAAGAGATAAAAAGTCTGAGAGAGACATGAGGAAGAAAGAAAGCAAACAGATTTATTAACTAGATCAGGGAAGATCTTTGGCAATGGTTTACTGGCACATGGAGCAAAGCAGCAGCAAATAGGTTAAAAGCCTATTACGTTTTTGAGGCAGATGTGCTGCTACAGAATTCATGAGCTAACCTGAAAAGGCCTTTGACTGTTAAAATAATCTTTGAATTGCTGAATTTACACAACATGAAGGGAGCTTTAGAGCTCTATGCATCCCTCCCACCCCCACAGATATCTCCAATGCTCAGTAGTGATGTGGTCTGAAGCTAGCAGATAGGAAATAACCTCACGGTTGAGTAAAGGACTTATAGGATGAAATGGAAAATATAATCCAGGTCAAATAAAGCACCATTCTCCAGTGCCATGCACTACAGACCACTATGTGTTTATCACCCTTCCCTTTCTGAATGGGAGTTTGTATTCTAATTATCCTAGTCCCATTCCCCATTGTTCATTTAGTGGAAAGACCTGGTAGACAATGTATCACCCATAGATCCTGAACTTTGGGTTAAAGACAGTACTACATGGGACACTGGGTTGTCTCCCTTGGAAAGAAGAAAGGTATTCTGGAGGACAGATGGACAGACTATGGAAGACACAACTAAATGCCCACTGAAGTCTGTGCCTCACCCCCTAACTGCATTACTTTAGTCCTTTTTCTTGCGTGCAGGTGTGAACATATAAAACTAATATATATGTTGTATGAGTAGAATTTCAATGTGTGATACTTCTAATCCAAGGCTTTTAAGAGCAGAGATGCTTTATTCATCTTCTATTTCCTTCTGGCAGGTGGATACAGATGATGAGAAGGACTTAAGACAGAGCCGCCAGATGAAAGAAGCCTAGAGAAGAGTTGCCTACTGACCATAAACACTAGCCTTAAACTGTTATATGATCAACAATAAACTTTATTGTGTTAAGTCACTGAAAAACTTGAGTTTATTAGTTACAGTAGCTAGCTTTTCTCTTCCTAATACTGGTCTGGAAAAAAATACCACTTCTGGGGGTAGGTGGTTGGACAAAATCAAAGAGGTTCCTTAGCGATGCTACATTTTGATTTTATATGAGTAAACACAAGCTCATGCTTAGGTCTTCCCACCTTCCATAAATTCATCATTAACCACACACACACAGAATTCAAACGGAATTCAGGTGGAATTTCGAACATTCAAGGCATTTTTTGTCTTACCTGTGTGGTAGGGCACTGTAGGTTTATCACCACGGAGGGACTGGTACAGCTGAATAAGTTAAAGTAAAACAATATGGTCTTGTTCCTGTTAAGAAAACAACATAAAATAATCGTTTTAGTGACTGTGGAATGTGCCATATCATTTCAGATCCTAAACACTTTTAATATAATGACCTTTAAAAATTGGCTTCATTTTCTTTAGGCAGCTACAATATAGTTCCCAACTCCCCTTTAAACTGCCTAACATTTAAAGCTCCTTTTTGTAATAGTAAAAAGTTAAAATAATCAAACTGTGCATTAATAGCAGATTGATTAAATAAAGAATTCTACATCCACAAAGGAGATTACATTGTCATTGAACATAAAGTTGAGGGGTGCCTGGGTGGCTCAGTCAGTCAAGCCAAATCTTGATTTTGGCTCAAGTCATGATCTCACAGTTCATGGTTTCAAGCCCTGTGTCAGGCTCTGAGCCTGCTTGGGATCCTGTCTCCCCCTCTCCCTCCCTCTCCCTCCCTCTCCCCCCTTTTCCCTCCCTCTCCCCTCCTCCCTGGCTTGCATGCCCCCCTTCAAAATAAATACATAAACTTTAAAAAAAAGAAAAAAGAAAATAATGTTGAAGAAAATGTTTAATGGATAAATTCACAATACATTAATTTTAGGAAGCAGGTTACTCTGCCATTTGGCAACTCATGGTTCTCTTTTGAATCTCAATTTCATCTGTATAATTAGGATAATACCAGCCCTACCAATTCACAGAAGTGTTGAAAGGACATAAAATAATATATTGTGGACTCATGACAAGTGGTTGTCCAACTTTAGTATGTATCTCTAAATCTTGGGAGTGTTTGTTGAAAATTGTGATTCCTGACCCCTTCTCTACCCTTGAGAGCCCAAATATTAGCATAAGAGGCCTAGGAATTCACATTTTTTCCTTGTTCTCACCAGCAGATTCAGACACAGGTGGTCTATAAGCCATACCTTGAGAGAACACAGCCCTAAACATTCAAACAATGTCCCCAACACCTTGTCAAGTCCCCAATAATTAATTAATGTGACTACATGCATAGCAGAAAATGTATAACAGAGTGTTGAGTAATATTTTTCCTACTGACTCAGAATCACCAAACAGGACCCAAAGGTAAGAATAAAGAAAGCTCTCCACAAAAATTTCTGGCTAGACTCCTGCATCACTTCTACAGTCTTCCTGCCCTGGTCTATGTAAGCAAAAAGGTGGGGGTAGGGAAGTAGACTAGAGATAGTTGTATTGGCAAGACAATGATCACAATTTAGAGGATTTTCCATCTCCTCCTCATTGAAGTTGTGAATTGTTTTTTTTCCCAATTCCAAATTACAGAGGGCTCTGAGAATCACTCATAAAGACTGAGGGTACCTGTAGGAAGAGCAGATCAGCAGGTCATTTTCCAACTGTATACCTCTTCTGTGGCAGACTTATTCATCAGTCTTCTGTGCCCATTTTGGGAATGAGAAATGAGACCCAACGAGACCACAAGAGGGTTAAAAAAAAAAAAAGCCAATGGGGGCAGCATTGAAGCAGCCTATTATAGGAGGATATGGAATCAAGTAAATGGGCTTGCACCTCCCTGGTGATACCTTATCTGCCATCAAGAGACAGGAGGTGAGTCACCAGGGATAGAGCTGAAAGGGTTTGGATACAGGCAAGCCAAAGCTGATCTCTCAAATGAAAGGACTATTTAGTAAGGATTTTCCCAGAGAATTTCCCCTTGTATACCATGAGAGAGCCAATTTTTGGATGCTTCCCCTAAAGAGGGTGTTGATGGCTAGTTAATTATGTTTTAGCTGTAGTAGCAACAACCACATAGGACTAGGGCAGTGGCCAGACACTCCTTCTCCTTCCAGCCCTCACAACACAAAGAGAGAACTAGAACCAGAAGAGAAGGAAAAGAAGGAAGATAGCAAACCAGGCCCTCTCTTCCTTTCTCAGTTCCCTTGCAGGGTTCAAACTTGAACTAGGGGATTGGAAAAAAATGAGATTCAAATATTAAACTGGACTACACTGAACTCTACAACAATAGTAAGGGCCCGGAAAGATATGGAATCTACTCGAGATGTCAAAGAAGAAAGACTTGAAAGAACTTTGTTAAGGGCAGTGATGGGGGAAAAATAAACCAATTTCATGTTTGTAATCCTATCAAGTTCAGATGACTCAAGAATATGGCCATAAATTTATACACAGTATTCACAAGACTACTTCATGATTCCCTAAGAGCCAGCTTTGCTCTTTTAGCACTCAAACAACCCTACCACCCACAGTCTTGTGGTACATGTGATTCAAATTTGTACCTAAGCAAATGAATCAATTATTGCAGGTCATGGATCACTGGAGTTCCATGGGAATAGTTAAAACTATGAATTGTAAATCACTAGGTGTCAAGTGTCTCCCATAGGTAGAATTGATTTATAAACTGCAAAATGCTACATAAACTCAAGTTATTCACCAGATTATGCTATTGTCAAGGGTAAGGTTTATACCTTATTTACCTTTATATCCCTATCTTGGCAACACTTAACCTAGTACTTGGCCCATTCCAGATATTTACTAAATGTTGCAGAATGAGAACAATTCGAGAGTAAGTAATTGTCATTTAATCTTAGAGTCCTCCTTAGTTTTCCAGCACAAATCTATAGTCACTCTATCAGTGTATCTGATATCCTTAAACTTCAGTGAACCTCAGATTCCTCAGGTACAGAGTAGATGATGGTGGTTGCAGCTGAACAATTCTGTGGGAGTGACTGAGGAAGTAACTATTTAACTTAAATTATATTTCCACCAAAAAACAACAAAGTATCATCAACTGAAAACTACTAATTCAAGAGGATATACCATGCACTTAAGCCTATCTCTCCTATTTCCTGAGACTCATAGAAATAAAAGAATGAAATTTTTAAAAAGTAATAAACCTCAGGGCACCTGGGTGGCTCAGGTATTGGTTAAGTGTCCGACTTCAGCTCAGGTCATGATATTAGAACTTGGCAGTTCGAGCCCCACATTGGGCTGTGTGCTAACAGTTCAGAGCCTGGAGCCTCCTTTGGATTCTGTGTCTTCCTCTCTCTTTCTGCCCCTCCTCTGCTCATACTCTCTCTCACTTTCTCTCTCTCTCTCTCTCTCTCTCTCTCTCTCAAAAATAAATAAACATTAAAAAAAATTTAATAAAATTAAATTTAAAAAGTTATAAACCTCACCATGCAAGCTAAGGGTAGGAAAAACAGGATCTATTCACAATTGCATAGGAGTTCAACAATTTTTGGAAGAAGGAAAACATATGAGAGTGTGTTGAGTAATGAATGCACCACACCAGGGCATAGAAGAATGGGATACAATTTGCATGTTAGAAATCATGAGATGCTGATGGTGCTTGGGTGGCTCAGTAGGTTAAGTATCTGACTCTTGATTTCAGCTTGGATCATGATCTCCTGATTCATGAGATTGAGTCCCACATTGGGCTCTGTGCTGACAGCACAGAGTCTGCTTGGGATTCCCTCTCCCTTCTCTTCCCCTCCCTGCTCACGTGCATGTTTTCTCTCAAAATAAATAAACTTAAAAAAAAAAAGAAAGAAAGAAATCATAAGATATTGGATTCAGAATTGATAGTGAAAAATGTGGCTGAAAACAAGATTAATTGAAGGTTTATATACAGATTTACAATGCAAATCATCACCTTTCTGCTTCTCCCATACCCCTGCACTTGGAATTCCAATGTCCAGGAAAAATAGGCAAAAACCGAGCCCTCTTTTGTGGAACCTTCTGGGGTTAGCAAGGACTTGTATGGGATTTGGTGCCCCAGCCTACAAGCCTTCATATTCTGGCATTTTGAAAGCCTATGCCTGACAGCCAGCTTCCCATCATTTTATGCTGTAGTGAAATCAGAAAGCAAACATGGCCCCCTCACCCTAAATAGGACAGAGGTCTCCCAGGAAAACTGACCTACTAATGTAGCCATGGAATGAATTCACACAAGCAACTTAGGTCTTTCTTTAGTAATATTGGATGATCAAGTAGAATCAGAAAAGTAAGGAGAAATCAGAATATGAAAGAAAAAGACTGAAGTAAACACAAACTGATGCTGGATGAAATCAAATAATTTAGGGCATAGGATGGACATTAAAAAAATACAGTATTTTCAAAATAATTCAAGCAGATTGTCCATAAAATAAAAACACTATGTCATTACAAAGGAATAATTAGAGAATAAGATGGTTTTTAAAGATTAAAAATATGAGGAAGATGGAAGAGGAGGAGGACCCCAAGCTCACCTTATCCCATGGACACCTTATCCCATGGATATCTTTAGCAAATACTTGGTCTGACTCAACTCAAGTGCAAGTAGGCCACAAACTGGCCCATTAATATAGGGACCAAACACTGCCCCAAAAAAGGAAAGAGCCACTGTGGATGACTCAATTAAAGGCAAATGCAGCACAGCCACAAGAGTAGGGTACACGCAACATACATAAGAGACATTCCTAAGGTGCCAGATTCTGGTGAACAGACAACATTGTAGTACAGGCCACTATAGGACCTCTTCTTCATACAGCCATTACTTTCAAGAGAAGAAGACATAGCAGAGATTCCTAACACACAAAAACAGACATAGAGTGTTACCCAAAATGAGGAGACAGAGGAGTTTGTCCTAAATAAAAGAACAGGACAAAATCACAGCAAGAGAGCTAAGTGTAATGGAGGTAAATAATAGATATGCCTGATAGAGAATTTAAAGTTATAGTCACAAAAATACTCAATTGACTTGAGAAAGGAATGGAGAACTTCAGTGAGACCCTCAACAAAGGGATAGAAAACATTAAAAAGAACCAATCAGAGATGAAGAAACAATAACGAAAATTAAAAATACACTAGATGTAATGAATAGTAGACTAGATGAAGCAGAGAAACAGATTAGTGATCCCAAGGACAGAGTAATGGAAAGCAATCAAGCTGAACAGGAGAAACAAAAAAATAATAAAATTTAAAAAAATAATAATAATACAAAATGAAAATAGACTGAAGGACCTCAATGACACCATCAAGTGTACTAACATTTGAATTAT